TTATTAAAATGCTGTTCAAAATTCTGTCAGTCTTTTACAAATACCAATAAATCATCGTCTAGCGCTGAATACAAAAATTTTATTGCTGATTCAAAAGTCACACTTATATCGATTTATTGCTTACGTGACAGGAAATTTTTCTGTTTCGACGCTAGTCGAAGCTGAAAGAGTTTCGCAATATTGGCGATATCCCGAGCACATTAAGAACGTTGACGGATGCTGGTGTGTCATCGGGATTCATGCGAGAACGAGAAACGTCCTGCGAAAATTCAGGATCTTTGAGTAGGAGAAGATGGTGCTAGAAGCTGGAAGAGAAGGTGAAGCTGACGTCGATTCGTGACCTGGCTCGGACGGCAAACTGATTTGTCATTCAGGTTGCATGAAGGTTTGCTCGGAGGTCGGGAAGTACATTATTCATCCCTTATCCTGAGCGAGAAGAGTGAAGTAAACTGGAAGGCGCGAGCGAAGTGGGACGTCGAAGAGATGCCGAGAGGAAACAGCGGCGAGCGGGAGTAAAAAGGAGAGGGACGTGAGCCTAACGAGGGATCTCCCTCGTACGATCAACTATGGTGGTCGAGATAATCCAAGATTTCATCGCAGTGACCTGCGACGCGAATAAATCGTTCGTTCCAAATACATTACACGTGCTTAAATTTCGGTAAATCTAAAAACATGCGTCTTATGTGACACAAGGAACGAGAAAACGAGAAAATAAGTTGAGTCAATGTAAATCATGATTTAATTTGCCTTCCCATAACCGAATATCTGCGAATAATCATATGTTGTCTACTCTTGATACTGTCTAATTTAATTGTTTGTTTAAAATCTTATAAATTTGGAAAGCGCTGCTTTATAAGTCATTATTTTATCACTATATAATAACACTTTTCGCGTGTATAATTTATTAGGTCGTAAGAGATGCAAGTTTCACTTCTCTTAATTGCTCGAATCGCATAAATTGTCTATCCGTTATTACGCATTTCATATCTTCTTTTATATACGATTTCGCGTAACGATGTCGTTCAATGAAAGCTAGACATTGCCGAACGAAAATTGCGCGCTAAATTCGGTACGGCGTGCACGCGGCGCGACGATCTCCATTTCGGCCCAATTGACCGTTCGATTTGGCTGCAGAATCGAAATCGGGCTCGATTATCGTTCAAGTTTCAAACGCTCTGTGAAATACTTCCATTAAACATCGGTGATCGTCATTCGGCGAATTGCGGCCGTTACGAGCGCAGTTTTATTCTGTGCACCAATGCAGAAGCTAGTTTAGGTAGATACTTTATTTCTGCGCTCTCGAAACGAGAGTCTCTATAATAGCCGCGGTCGGCTTCACGCATCGAGAAACTACACTAACGCGAGAGCAGAAATTTCCGAGGGAATGTGGCCAGATAAAGCGGATTGAGAGGTGTATCCTCGTCGGTTAACACAAATGAAAGGAATGCATTCGATACGTTCGCATAAGATCCAATCTTCAACTAGCATAATCGCGAAAATATGTTAAAGCTATATATAAGTAGTCTCGATTAATTAGTCAATCAAAGTTCTTAATACAATTGTTTCTGAAATAATAATAATAATAATCTATAATAATAAATCTAATATTAATTCAATAAAGAATTCAATATAAATTAATAAAAATAATTCAGTTTATATAATTATAATTTTTTTTTATTTTATTTTTCCACCACACGAAGATAATTCATGAGAGAAGCGGAAAAGCTCGAGGATCAACGTTCACCAGACGACTGGCATCCGGCAGGCTCGGGGATTTGTCGAAATTTAATTTCATGCGAGAATGAATCTGTTTCGCACTTTCCGTAGGTCGTACATGATTGAATAGTATGTCTTAACGGACACGTGCACTTATATGCCTCTTTATACAAAAGACGTGGCATGCGGGTGCGCCGGATTAGGTGTACTTTGTCGGGAAAGTGGAAATCAATGATGGGATTCGATAATTGAAAGATAGGATCATCAAAGCAACCCGTTATTTCTCTAGGTAAACAAGACAGGAGAAAACGAGAATTCCTCTGGGCGTGAGAGATGAAATATCACGGGACTTAACGCTGCCGATTTTGCCGATCCTCTTCCATTTCTGGTTCCGCATAAATAACCGCTGTAATATATATATATATATATATGATGACAAAAATAATAAATAAATTAAATTTATCGACGGTACCATTATTATGTACACAGTTTGTTATTGTTAATTCTGTTTAAATTACAAGCCTAAAAAGAAAACTTCTGATTTGTAGAGAACATATGCATGCATCATATATCAAAATAAAATTTATATCGCAATTCAGATTTGATTACTCGCATATTTTCAAATCTCTTTTTTTTTTTATCAAAATCATTTTTAATTATTCTTTTTAAGCTACTTCAAAGCTATCATGCATTTTTAGAATTCTGTTAGTGATGTAATATATTTCTAGAGATTTTAAAAATCGGACTTGCATGTTATATTCAAGATTAAAGATACGCTTAGTCCATATATCAATGTAATGAAATAAAAAAAATATTAAAAAGATTTATCCAAAAATAGAATGTTCTAACGTTTCGAGATTGAAATCGATTTCTAAGCCAAGGTATTCTCTGTTCAAATTAAAATACCAAAGATATTAACAAAGACGCAAAAGCCGATAATTGCTAATGTCTCATGCGATTTTCCATATTGTAGCGATTTCGTTACGCAAATTTGACTAGCATTCAATTATTCGCTCTCGAGATTCTATTCGATGCTCCATGTACCTTTCCAGTCCTTAGCACTCATGCTGTCGCTATCCCATCAAGATACATCCATCCTTTTTACCCGTCTCGTACCACGACATTTCCCCGCCATCGTGCCTCACCTTCCTTTCCCTTGCACTCGTTTCTACCTTTTAACATAGTTTCCTCGAGAATGGGATTTACAGAGTGGAGGAAGGGGTGCTTAACTCCGGGCACTTTATTCGCCTTCGTGTTTTCGCTGGCACGATGAAATTTATTGTGAACCAGTTCAGGACTACGACTTGAATTCAATCCGGATACTTATCATACGTTTGTCTATCATACAATATATGTTTTCTTTCGTCCTTAGATATTTGAGTGTAATCCGAAAGGAACGACCTGTTTCAATTTTAGAACATCAATTACTTCAGAGATAAGAAACTGAAAATGGAGAATTAGGTTTTAGAAGAGAAAAGAAAGAATTGGACGAAAACTAGGAAATGAAGTAGAAAGAAGTGGGCAAGAACTCCGAAAGCAAATTTTTGCCTCGTATGCTTATGTTCTTTTCTTTCCTTTTTAGTCCGCAATATTAATCATAATCAAAATCTTTTCAGAAAATAGCATTTTAATTCAAATTTAAGAACAAACTTTAATAAGATACTTCCGCATTTGTTTAAAGAGAATATTTTTTTTTGTGACATGTTCATTCAAAGTATTCCCTTAGTCTCTTCTAGTTTAATAAGAACGAGGAAACTATCTACTGCTACTCATTTCTAAAAGATAGTTTTTCCTTTTATTAAAAAGAAGCACTGATAGAAGCTTAATATGACTTTGATAACAAATATAAAAAACGTGCAGCGCATAATATTTGCTTCACAGGCGGCGAATATTCATAAATATGATTTGAAATAAATATTTTCTTTCGTTTCTTGGCCAAAATAAAAATCTATTTGCGTCATAATAATCAAAATTGAGGGAAATGAGTTTTAATTGTCATTATTGTCTTGTACTCGCACAACGCTGTGATTTTCCGCTGTGATTAGCGGAAGGAGGAGATTACTGTCGTCGTTGCAATTTCCAATTGATGTAATTCCTCAAAATTCGCTGTTTCCATCACAACGGGAAATGGCGTAATAATTTTTTCGCCCTGAAGATACATTTTAACGAGTGAGCGACGTAATGAAAAAGCTCAACGCGTCCATCGGGCGTGCCCACAACGAAAGCGGGACTCGGCACTTTTAATAACGTAAAGCCAGTTTGCGTTTACCGGAGTTTGCTTAATGCTTAATTACGTGGACTTCTCTGCTGATTAGATATTGTCCCTGCGACTGCGTCGCCGGCGTTGCCATTATGAGAATTCGTTAATTATTTCCCGGCATACCGCGAACGCGCTTTTCCCAGCATTATTGTTAATCCGATTTCTTTCTGGTTGTTTTGCGGTATCACGAGTCTCATTTAATTTAGGATCAAGGAATTAAAATTCTAATGTTAGATTGAAGATCTAACGCGTTATGTTTGCGTGACAAGAGAGTGCTTATTTTTTCTATAAATAAAATTTAGACAATTATAAAAGATATATGTGTGAAATTTTATTTTATACGATAGATTAAATAATCTTCAAATTTATCCTTTTTTCAATATAATAATAATCATTTACAAAAAAAGAAAAATAAAAGCAGCTGAGAGTCAAACGTTAATATCTCGATGCACAAATATTTAATAAATATACTTATTTTATTAAACATTTGCGCACCAATATTAGCATTTGATTCTCAGTTATCTTTACTTTTCTTTCTGTGATATTTCAAAAGTCCTATGGATATTTTAATAATGATAATTTAATTCATACCATAATTTAATCATTAAACAAATAAATCATACAAGAAATTAAATCTGATTATAATTTACAAGTATAGCGTAATAATTATTAAAAAAGTACACAGTTTTCTTTATTAGATGAAACAGACTGATAGAGAACACGCAATTGAACACGCAACTGAACACGTTATTGTATAATAATACGCCGGGTAATCATCATACGTTACACTTCCTGAATATGAACGTGTTTGCATACATACATTATATGCATATACACACGTGACGTTGATCAAATTAAGTTAATGGACGGTGAGATCAGGCTTCTCGACACGCCCATGTTAAATATTAGCAGAAGACTGACCTGGGTGCTTCGTTAGGTTGCGTTTTCTCAACATGATGCACAGCGTTTCGACGATGCCAGAAGGCAACGAGTTGTGAATGCGTTTAAGGTACTACCTGGTACATGCACCTACGCGCCGACATTCGCGCGAATCTCTTCTCCGACTCCGGAATTTCTCTCTACTAACTCCAAAAGTTTCATCTTACAAAGTTTCGACAAGAGACGTGGCAATTGCGGTTAAATTCTTAAGTAACGCCTTCAATTTAATCCCGAGCTTAAGGTTAGCTCCGTCGAAGTATTTAAGAACGCTGCTCTTATCTACTTAATTAATAATTTGTCAAATTCTTTTTAAATCCTACTTACTGATTACCGGAACAAAAAAAGCAAAATCCTGCGAAACAAAAGCATTACTCTTTCAACTTCATAACGAAAACTTCTCGAATACCTTTACCCGCTCTTTACATTTCAGCCGCTCTGATCCTTGACTAATTTAAACTCAACTTTTCATGCCAAATATTATCGATAATTCAATATTGTAATTTGCGTTCACGTTAATATAATTAATTTCAAATACGGCTTTTATGCGCATGTAAAGGTTATTCCGATTTATTGTTTCAGGCAATGTTTCGACGGTATTGCTCACACGCGACTCTTGATTAATTAATTGAGTAATTATTCGATCAAAATTACAGATCGGATTACATCGATGTTCAAAACGCGGTGACCAAACTAATGGTGAATTTAATATGTAAATTCCCAAGGTACCTAGGCGAATCGAGATTCATCGATTTAACAATGCAAACGAGTAGTTAAATGGATTAATAAATCAAAATGTTATTTTGATTCAAATATCATTACTTCGAATTATTTACACATTTCGGATGCATTTCCATATATCTAGATAAACGATCGAAAGTATTCGATATTTGCACGATAAATGTAACGTTTCCTAGTAATCGAGGTTTTTTAGTTTTTTTATATTTTTAACTAGTGATTTCTTTAATAATTAATCAAAATTATTCAATAGGGACACCAAGAATATAATGGAGATTACTTGTCTTAACGTGTGATGTTATCAATTTAATTGGTGAAATTAATGAATTATCTAAATATTGTTATATTTCGATAATTAATGAGTAAAGGCCTTCACGTTGATCGACCGACAATTTATAGTGACTGACAAGCGGCGCACTGTACCTATCGCTTAATGCTCCTCGCATCTAATATACTGCGGTCTGCACATGACAGATCCATAGTTTCTGATAATGCCGCCGATTAAGAATCGATAATTATCCTCTTCTCAAAATCAAGAGAATTAAAGTAAAGTTACTGCTTTTGGCAATGATATATTTATGAGTAACGTTCAATTACAATCTTGATTATAATGTAATTTTAAACTATATATATTAATAACCTATATATATATTAATATATATATTAATATATAATAATAAACTATATATATTATTTAACTATATATTGATAAAAATTAATTTTTAATATAATTGAATTATATCTGTTTAATGTCCCATTTTACACGTAATGCAAATCTCTCTTATTATCGTGTAATTAAAGAAATATGCTATTTTACTACGACTGGCTTGAAATAAATTTAACTTTTTTTGTAAAGAATATAAATTATAAGAAATATTAATACAATTTTTATAACTATCTACAAAGAAAAATTGTGTGCACTGATTATTCTAATCGTCATAATAACGTTTTTGAAAGAATATATAGCATTTAATTCTCTTTTGATATATGCGATATTATCTGCGTAATAACTGCTCTATATTCTTCCCACAAAATACCGCATTGTGAGCTTGGAGAGCAATGGAATAAAGAGTTGAATACGGTTGGTTTTCAATTCAAGCGTCAGATCAATGATAAGCCACAATAAGCGTAGAATAATGATATTATGATTCCAGCTCAATCTATCAATGTTAAAGTATAGGATCTCAAAAAAATAATCAATATTGATTTCGTTAATCAGACACTTATTGAAAATACTGCTACTATATCGATTTTTCAATATCTACGATGGAGAATACATACTGTGTGAATTTAAATTATGCTTATTCAATGCTTGGACATCTAAATTAAATACCAAAAAGACAAATTTTGCAAAATAATTGTTGCGAGTTTTACTAGCAGAAATATAACAGAATCTACCAACAGATTGTCTATGGAAACCGAATAAGATTTGTTATTTCAATTCCAATCTGTTATATTACATTTCATTTAAACTGACTTTGATGTGACAGATCCTTGGTTTCCGCTGGCGATCCGCTATCAGATTATGCTGACAAGCTTTGCTGACAGAATTATACGGATACAATTGAGCACACAGTCAACGCCACAATATATTGTTCGAATTTATCGATAGACTACTATCGGCGTATCGATCATCCGTTGAAAATTTTCAGAAGAGTGCAAAAATTAACGTTTAATGAGTTTTGACAAGAAAGATTTACGGAAACACACTTTGTGGAGGAAGCTGTGCGCTAGGATCTCGTCCCTCGATGTGATCTCTCAAAGTGCAAAGAAATTTCTCACTCACCGTACATTCGCCGTCTATGCACACCTCCGTGCCTTCCACGTAGCATCTCGTGCCGTCCTCCACCTTATTCGCTAGCTGCACCACTATCGTCTCATCGCTGTCGAATTGCAGGCTATCCGCGGAATCGCGCGGCATCGTCTTCTCGCCCGACGGCACTTCCTGCCGCGACCGTATAACACCGTTCTCAAGTGTCTGCTCGCCGCGGCAGATCAAAGCGCACGGCCTAGCTGGATCATAATGGGGATACCATTTGAGCAGTTGTCCGCTGTATGGCACATTGTTGAAGGCGGCGCATTGTACCGCGCGAAAATCGCCCGATTTCTCGCAGGGCTGAAATCACAGAAAGGGAAATCCGTTGTCAGTCCGGGCTCATTAAAGCCGTCTCCACGACGTCGTTACGTCGCGTTATAAGCACCTTCGAGAAACTGCCGTTTCGCGACAACGAGCAATCTACATTTTTAGCACTATCATGCTAATAATATATATTTTAGCCCACTATCCGATTGTTCGTACGGAATCCTATCCTCGATTCATCTAGATCGTTTAACGATCTTCTGCAATTGATTTTATATAAAAATTCGGCGACAATTGATCAATATTATATTATATTTTATTTCATTTCTAAAATATACTTTGATAATAACTATTTTTATTTTTGCCATAATTTGGGTGAAATTTCGATTACGTTATATCAATTTCCTAATTCTTTTGTCATTCTCCATTTTTAAATACAATTTTTTAATTAGAAAAAGATTGTTTTTTTTTTTAGAACGATAATTCTATTAATATATAATAAAAATATTTTGTATTTATATGAATTTATATGAATTTACATTGAATTGACTACGTGGAAAACAAAGTTTCCCAATTCCGATAGCTAATTAGAGCAAAATCATATTCCATTTATACTTCTCAAACTCGACTTGAGATAGCGAATCCAAAATGAAGGATGGCCGCCCGAGAGCTCGAGAGTTACCATCGCAAAAGTGCCCGCTAATTATCGTTATAATTAACCATTCTATAGCTGAACCACGATATCTCCAGGGTATTTCTATCGACATTTTCGCCTCCCCGAGTTTACTTCACTTTTCGTAAAGTTAACGAGGAATGTAAGTTTGCCGTAGAGAAACATTTGTTATCTTCCAACTTCTTCTCTTCTTACCTATCGTATCGTATTATTTGTTTCTTGTCATTGTGACAAAATTTCTGAAATTCCATCTCGTAATATTTGAACGTAACAATACAAAATATCATTTTACCGCAATGATTATATTGATATTCTACGTGAAATCATCATGTTCTGTAATGTAACTGTAACGATACATAATCATATTTGTTTAATGCTGTGTTGAAACATAATATTTATAACACAATATCCCCTTCCTTATCTTGTTGTTTATTATCAAATAAAAAATTATGTAACAAAATATAAATGCAATATAACGCAAGTAATTTTTATGCTACGTTAAAGATATTGTTTACACATACAATTCGAATATGTAAACAGTGACAGATCATCCATTAGGTATATCAGTCGCGTGTTTAGTTTCTTTCACATAAAATCAAAAAACGAAGCAGAAACTTGATATTTATAATAATAAAATTCTTATATTCAAGATTTCACAAAAATCTCCCTCAACTATAAATCCTTCTTGAAAAAGAGATAAAAGATACAGAGTGATAATTTTATCATCGTTGTCATTCATGTTTCTGTTATTCTAGATTATGGATTATGTTAGAGTAAATAATCGCGATTAACTTCGCTTCTCCACGAGAGAATTAATTGCGGTCAGTTACATGCAGGGCAAACTTTCAGTATAAACAATCGCCGAATCGCATGCATCTCGCTGCGCCGTGTATGATAATTATTCGCGGCGTCACGGCGCGTCAACTTCGTCCGCAGTAATTATCAAATTCGATGGAAAATATATAGGTGCGAAATACGCACGACGGGCCGACCATGCGAAATTTACACGTAACGTTCAATATGACCGACTGTAGCAGCCCCGGCCGAGCGACGCGGACGGCGAGGATAATGTAGCTAAACATTCACCGCTACCATTGTTAGGAACAGTGTTTGTTGTAATGAATTTGCCGGCAGCGCAGTAATTAATTAGCGCGGATCGGCTAGCCACAGAGTTCAGTTTCAATTGGGTCGACGTATATTCCGACGGTATGCTGAGTTTAAGCTGAGCAGCATATTGTAATCGCTGCTGTAAGATATCTTGCTTGGTAGTAGGAACAAATTATTTTTATAATTAGCGAGATATTAAATCCCGTTTTTAAATCTATATTTAACATAACTTATATAATATTTAACTAATATTTAACATTTCACTTTTCACTTTTAAATTAGGATTAATTAATTATTTATGTAATCCTTCCATGAATTTTTAATTCTACAAATTTACCTCACTTTCTTTATTCACAGGCACTTTAGATTCTTAGGAATCGGAAAATTATGTGACGCGAAGAGAGATATAGCTGATAATTTTAAACCTATTGCTATTAATACTATCATTACTTCCTTCGATCTTGATTACTACTAGCTCGCACATACGTGACGATTTCATAATTTGCTAAATTAGTTTGCCATGTTATAATGATCTATAAAATAGTTTGCAGCTAAGTGCTAAGTAATAATATCCATCTTATCGTTATAGCTATTGTTATTACTTTTACTATGAAACAGCAATAGATAATGGCTGGTTGTACTATACGTGTACCATTTAGTTCCTAACGTAAATTTTTCTATTAGATATATATGTATATAAACATCTTAAAAAAAAAAAATTATATATATATATATATATATATTAAATTAGT